CATTGCTTGCAGCTTTAGATGGCATCCTGCCACCAACTCGTCCAACTGACAAGCCTTTGCGTCTGCCCCTCCAGGATGTCTACAAAATTGGTGGCATTGGTTCTGTCCCTGTGGGCCGAGTGGAGACTGGTGTTCTCAAGCCTGGCATGGGTCCCCTTTGCTCCAGTCAATGTCACAATTGAAGTAAAGTCTGTTGAGATGCACCATGAAGCTCTGAGTGAAGCTCTTCCTGGAGACAATGTGGGCTTCAATGTCAAGAACGTGTCTGTCAAAGATGTGCGCCGTGGCAGTGATGCTGGTGTCAGCAGAAATGACCCACCTATGGAAGCAGCTGGTTCCACTGCCCAGTGATGACCTGAGCCGTCCAGGCCAAATCAGTGCTGGCTCTGCTCCTGTACTGGACCGTCACACAGCTCACATGGCTGGCAGGTTTGCCGAGCTGAGAGAAAAGATGGATCGCCGTTCAGGTAAGAAGCGGGAAGATGGCCCTGAATTCTTGAAATCTGGTGATGCTTCCATCGTTGATTGGTTCCAGGAAAGCCCAGGGTGCCGAGAGCTTCTCTGACCCTCCTCCTCTGGGTCGCTTTGCTGTTCGTGGTCTGAGGCAGACAGTTGCTGTGGGTGTCATCAAAGCAGTGGACAAGAAGGCTGCTGGGCTGGCAAGGTCACCAAGTCTGCCCAGAGAGCTCAGAGGGCTAAAGGGATATGACCCCTGACCCCTGCCCCCAGGCTTAATCAGGGTGAAGAACGGCCTCAGAAGGGTGTGTCTCAACTGGCCATTCAGGTTTGACAGTAAAAGACTGGTTAATGATAACTACGCATCGTTCAACCTTCAGAAGGAAAGGAAATGTCTTGTAGACCATTTTGGTCTTTGTGTGTGGCAGTTTTAGGTTATGAGTTTTTAAAATCAGTACTTTTTAATGGAAACAACTTGACCAAAAATCTGTCACAGAATTTTGAGACCCATTAAAACAAAAAGTTTAATGAGGAAAAAAAAGGTAAGTTGGTCCCAGATATTTCCTCAATTATTGTGGAGAACCACATTTCAATATTAATTGCTTTGGGTGCTTTGTACAATGTTGTTTTCCAAACATGATCTCAAGTCCCCACGCAGATGTTTATTGCTGCTGCAGTCACAGGTGAAATGCTAATTATTTCCCAAGAAGGAGGTGAGATCATGGAGTTGCAGTCATTTATTTCAGACTCAGATGCCCCTCCCCACTCCTGCACAGACACTGCACTGACACCCACTGTGTGCACCTCAGATGCCACTTGGTAAGTATCTGTATTTTGTCAGATAAGTGTTTGATTTATAGGAGAATTCTATCACAGGAAATCCCCAGGAACAAAGGACGTGTGTGTGTGTGTGTGTGTGTGTGCTGTCTGTGGGTATAGTGTGTAGTTAGTATGTGCTCTGTTTTGTGGTGTAGTGTGGTGTCTGTGTGTATAGTGTGTAGTTAGTATGTGCTCTGTTTTGTGGTGTGTGTGTGTGTAGTGTATAGTGTGTAGTGTGGTGTCTGTGGGTATAGTGTGTAGTTAGTATGTGCTCTGTTTTGTGGTGTGTGTGTAGTGTATAGTGTGTAGTGTGGTGTCTGTGGGTATAGTGTGTAGTTAGTATGTGCTCTGTTTTTGGTGTGTGTGCAGTGTGGTGTGTGTGCGTAGTGTATAGTGTGTAGTGTGGGGGTGTTGTGTGACTGGCCACAGGTATATTTCTGCACAAAGTGTGAAATCACTCTTTCCAAGAGCAGCTGTTGCATCTGGTGCCTTTCCTGCCTCCATCAGCCTGATCTCTCCCATCCCCTGTCCCAGGTGTGGAGTCATTAAAGTACGCATGGCTAATGGGGGCTCACAAAAGAATTTTCAGAGACATCTTAGTCTTAAGGTGATATTATCACCCAGGCACGTAAGCAGATGTCCAACGTGCCTTGCCATTCTCATTTTCCTATTAATCTCCTGCTGTTTCTCCCCTAATCACAAGATTCATTTTTTTTAAAAAAAAGCAACCTAAAAGGATAAAGATAAAAACAATAAAAATTCTAATTGGAGAACTTGTTTGATGAACATCACATCCTTCCCTCTGAAAGTAGGAATCACCTAGTTTAAATCATCCCTGTCTCCAAATGTTCTATGACAAAGGGATATAAGCTTTAATCTATGTTGTATTTCAAGCATCACCATGTTTATGCAATTCACAGATTTGCAGGTTCCTAAGTGTTTTCTCTAGCCCTGGGAAACATGGATTCCCAAACCAGGACTTCATACTTGAGCAGACTTAAATTCATTTCATAAAGTCTTTTTCACATGATTCCTGCAGTTTACCTTTCCCCCCCTTTTTAGTTTATTGCTCTAATTTCATTACCTATTTTTTTTTGAGAGAGAGAGAGAGAGAGAGAGAGAGAGTTTTTTAATATTTATTTTTTAGTTTCCTGGCGGACACAACATCTCTGTTTGTATGTGGTGCTGAGGATTGAACCCGGGCCGCACGCATGCCAGGCGAGTGCGCTACCACTTGAGCCACATCCCCAGCCCTCATTACCTATTTTTAATTCCACTTATCACACACCAAATTTCTCTTTTCAATATTTACTGGAATTTCAAATATTACAAAATGTTAAATTTGAATCTAAAAGCTAATATTCTGGTTGCTGGGGATATGGCTCAGCTGCACAGAGCTGGCCTCACATGCACAAGGCCCTGGGTTCAATCTGCAGCACTGAAAAAAACTAGAACTTTGCTGTAAAATCCTTAAGAAATCAACAAAGGTGTGAATGTGAGGTGCATGTTTATTCAGATACCCCACCCCCACCCCTGTTCCCCTTGCTAGCCAGAGAGGTCACAATGCTTCATTGTTGGGGATCTTGGCCACCACTTCATAATCACCCAGGAAGTTCCCTGCAGACTGAATTCTCCTTCTGTCTTCTCCTGTGAGAGGTGCTAACCAGTGTCCCTGGGGTGTGACCACTACCCACACTTCTCTTTGTCCTATCATCACTAGTCCAGTCCTTGACCAAAAGTGATGTCTCCCCCAAACTCACACATAAACTGTTCTCTTTATCCCATTTGTTAAGATGTGATTGCAATATTTTTGCAAATGATTTAATTTTTTCAATGTTAAATTGCATGATTTTTCTGGAAAATAAATTTAGCGAAATTTAGCAAAATTTTATGAATTGGCAATCTGAATGATCTTCAAAAACCTCTGTAAGTATGCAGTGTTCTGTATCTTTTCACACTACAATCAGCTGCAGCCACAAGACACGACACTGGAGAGGTACAAGTTAACTATACTCACACAGGTCCTAGAGAAACAGTCACTTCATGTGCAAGGGCCCACACTGGGGAGTCCCACAGGAGGGGTTTGCCCAAGCAGGTGGGAGAGTGAGGAAAACTTTCTATTATAAAAAGTACAAATATCGGGCTGGGGATGTGGCTCAAGCGGTAACGCGCTCACCTGGCATGCACGGGGCGCTGGGTTCAATCCTCAGCACCACATAAAATAAAAATAAAAAATAAAGATGTTGTGTCTGATGAAAAAACTGAAAAATAAATATCAAAAAATTTTCTCTCTCTCTCTCTCTCTCAAAAAAAAAAGGTACAAATATCACCAGATGTGGTGCCACATGCCTGTAATTCCAGCAATGAGAGAGGCTGAGGCAGGAGGATTGGAAGGTCCAGGCCAGTCTTGGCAACTTGGCAAGGCCATAAGGAACTTAGCAAGACCCTGTCTGAAAATAAAAAATAAAAAGTGTTGGGGACGTACCTGATAGTGGAACATCTCTGGTTCCTGTCCCAGTACCAAAAGAAAAAAAGTTACATTTTATGAAAACACCAAAAACTTTTGGGACATCAGGTTTGACACAAGGTTAGTAATACTTTGCTAAGACAAAATCATGAAAAATATCCTGCGATATTTTTATCTGAGAGATTTTATATTATATATATTTATATCAAGTATTTATTATTTTCTTCTAAGATTAAAGCTAGAAATGTACCTCTAAAGTTTTAATTAAATCTTCACAGACTTCAGTGGTGATTATTGAACAAGCTTTCCCCTGAGGCCATCATTCACTTCAACCATATATAAGTTCTTCTGAAGCTCTCTTATGTAAATATCTGCCAACCTAGGTCATTACAAGTTCTGTCACATTTTTAGTTTTTTCCAGTAGCAAACTGCAATTCTTATTATACTTTACACATAGTAAGTTATTTTCTTTAAACTGATTTTTAAATGTTTTGTCCTTTTGATATTAGTAGAGGAAATTAGGAAATGTTAACATTTTCATTGACATTTTATTTAATAAGGTACATATTAGTGTGCTTTGAATTACTAAAAATACTGGAAAGACATCTACCTAAGACAACAGATTTCTTTGCTATTATTTAAAATAAGTTCTATAATTTAAATACCACCTTTGGTTGTCATTCAATGTTTCCTTTGTATTACTTTATCAATCTGGCTCCAAAATCTCCCCCATTTTACTAATGTATTTTTGCTTGTACATTTAAGATTATTGCTTACATAAAAGAAAAATTTCAACTGTCTTGACTTGTGACTATTCTAGATGATATTATTGATCTTAATAACATTTCCTGTTTCTAGAATGTTTCTCAAATGTGTATTTCAATTCTCAGTCATGGAAGTGGACATTCATCTCACGGCTGAGGTCTCTGTGTGGTAGAAATGACCATGCCAGAAGATAACTCAACCAGGCACCGCCAGCGTGATAGTATTTTTCCTTCTTGACTTCAAACATCCTCATATTTCACCATCCAACAATGAAGCTTCAGTGCTTTTGGAAGAAGGAATTGTTCTGAGGAAGGCTCTCTAAAAACGATCTTGGGAAACTTCTATTATTTTATCTTTTATACGTGATGGTAAATATTTTGAAGTGTGATACATTCTTACCCCAAACAGAAATTTCTTAACATGAAATAGCATCTATAGAGCTATAGGTAGGATAGAGGATTAGCATTCCCTCCATTGATTTTCACAAGAATGCATGGGTTTTCCCAACATCTCCCAGCATAAACCTTATCAGTTACTGTCATGTCACTTCTACCGTATGTGGCTCGGTTATGAGCATCAATCCTTCAGAGTGACTATTACATAATTTTGTACAATGGTAGTTTCTTCCTATGGTCCTGAGACTACTGCAAGTGACCTCAGCTTTCTCTCAATTTCCTCACATCCCTTATTTGATCAGATTTTCCAAAAGAATCTTGGAAAGTTTCTGCTCTAGATCTGAAATAAACTGCCTTCACCCTCAAAGACACTTCTTTCTTATACTGAGAAATTTTAGAGACCAAAACCTGGTTGCTAGAAATAGGCATTGGTATTTGGTTGCCTATAATTTCTACAGTTTTTCAATGTAGAAAGGAAGGAGAGTATATATTTTTATGCATTTACTTACAAATTGATGTAATATTTATTTGTGCGTATGTGTGTTTCAGGGGCAAGAATGTAGCTCAGAGTAAATGAGAGTCCCTGAGTTTGATCTCTAGTACAAAACATTTTCTTAAATAATAAGTTAATATTGAATGTTTCTATCAAATGGAGGTTTTATTTATATTACCACTCACTTTCTCTTACATTGAAAGTCTTATTTTCCACTTAAATTAATATATTTGTTTCAAAAATACATCAACCCTTTTGTAAAATATATAAGCAAAATTTAAGCTTTATTGACAGATAATTTGCCTCTAGGATATACAGTTGAAATGATATATTTTTCAATTCACTTGAAGTATTTCATTTTCACAGAGGTCACCAACTGAATATTTGCTCTTCTTTCCACTTTTCAATTTTGTGTTTTTAAAACATTTAATTTGATTCAACCATGTTTACTATATGAAATATTTATTTTGCAAAAATAAAGCCACTATTTTAGAAGATTTTCTTCTAAATCTGTATGTATTCTGTTCCTGTATTTTTATTTCTCCACATATGTGGAAAAACTTTGGGATACTTCATACATAGTTTTTTTTTTTTTTTTTTTTTTTTTTTATATTTATTTATTTATTTATTTTAGTTTTAGGCGGACACAACATCTTTGTTTGTATGTGGTGCTGAGGATCGAACCCAGGCCGCACGCACGCCAGGCGAGCGCGCTACCACTTGAGCCACATCCCCAGCCCATACATAGTTTTTTTACTTGGCTTTTCATTTCAAAAAGCAATCAGTAAATCAGAGTATACAGATCTTCCCCGCTCAGTTTACAGGTGTTATCTGCTGTGCAGATGAACCATAATGCATTCACCTACTTCCTGTGGGATGACATTTAAACTGCTTCCAAGTAGAACTTTCAAGAACACCTTCTGAATCCACAGGCACACATACTTAATGCTTACTTAAACTTAGAAAATATGTATTAGGTTTAGCAGTAAAGGTTACTGGGCAAGATGATGGTAATATTTCTTTTTGTTTGTCTAACTACCCATTCCTTTATTCCAATCAAAATCACTGTACCAAGCATGCAATGTGGTGGCTATTGTTAAGTTGGAAATTGGGGTTATCTTCCTTATTCAGATGGGAGTGGGAGTCCTTGGAAATATCTCCCTCCTTTGTCTTTATAACTTCACTTTGCTCACTGGACACAATGTAAAACCCACAGACATGGTCCTCCACCAACTGGTATTAGCCAATTCCATGGTACTTTTCTCCAGAGGGATCCCTCAGACAGTGGCAGCTTTTGGACTGAACTACTTCCTGGATGAAGCTGGATGTAAACTTCTCTTCTATTTTCACAGAGTAGCCAGAGGGGTTTCCCTCAGCACCACCTGCTTCCTCAGTGGTTTCCAGGCCATAAAACTTTACCCCAATTTCTCCAAGTGGCTGGAGCTCAGAATGAAATCCCCAAGGTGCATTGCCTTCAGTTGTTTTCTCTTCTGGATCCTGCAACTGTTGATAAATATATTTGTTCCTATCAAAGTGATTGGTGCAATGAACAGCAAAAATTTAAGTGTGAAAATAAATCATGGATACTGTTCCTCACTTAATCCAGATAGCTTTAAAAAGTTTCTAGTTGCATTCTTATTCTTCACAGTTGACTTCGTGTGTTTGGTCCTCATGGCCTGGGCCAGTAGATTTATGGTCCTTTTCCTGCACAGACACAGACAGCGAGTGCCACACATTTACATCCACGGGCGGACTTTCAGACATTCCCCTGAGGGTCAAGCTACATGCACCATTTTGATCCTTGTGAGCTCCTTTTGCATCTTTTACTCATTCTCTTCTGTCTTGCATGTTTGGATGACTCTTGCTGTAATCCCAGGTCAGTGGCTGGTGAATACCTCTATGATTTTGTCTTCATGTTTCCCAGCATTCAGTCCCTTGGTGCTCATTCACAGCGACACTCGTTTCTGTGGTTTCATGGACTGCTAACAAAGAAGCAACTTCTTCCATGTTCTCTACAGCTATTTCAGTCATCCCTTCTACTATATGTTAATGTTTAGGGCAATAAATTGCACATTCTTTATAGAAATGTGTCATTCTATGTAGAATGGGGCAGTTCAATCTTAGACATTGTAAGTCCTATAAGAGGCCTAAAATAAACTTTATGTGCATAAATAAATAAATACTACTCAAACTGCTCTAGCTTCAAAGGAAATATTCATGAATATGAAATAGTGTGATAGGGGAAAATATTCTGAGATTTGGAGAAAATCTCTGCTTGTGTGGTTTTTGTGCAGAGTGGTAAATGACATGTAATGTAAAATGCACCATTTTAATAAATTTCAAGAATACAATTCAATGGTGTTAAGTGAATTTGTAATGTTGTAAACCTACCATTACTATTTCCAACACTTTTTTTTGATCAACCCAAAAGAAAATGTGTATACATTAAGTGTAACTCTTTATTTCCTGTGCCCTCAGCCTCTGGTATCCTCTGTTTTTTGTCTCTCTGAGTTTGCCTATTCTAGATATTTCATAAAAGTGGAATAAAATATTTGTTATTTTGAATGTGACTAACACTTCTTAGAATATTTTTCAAAGTTCATCTTTGTTGTGTCGTATATAACTTTATTCCTTTTATGACTATTCCATTGTTTGAATGTATCATTTTTTAAAATTCACAGATCTTTGATGGATACTTAGGTTGTTTCTACCTTTCAGACACTGTGAATAACGTTACCACGGCCCTGAGTGTACGGGTACCTGAATTCATGCTTTCAGTTCTTTAGAATGTGTAAACAAGGTCTCAGGTGGCAGTTTCTAAACTTTGAGGAACTGCTAGACTCTTTTCCACAATAGCTCTACCATTTCATATTCCCACCGCAGGTATATAAGGGTTCCAACTTCTCCGCATCCTTGATATTGTTTTTTGTTTGTTTTAGTAGCATTCTGATAGATGTGCAGAGGACCCTTGTGGTTTTGATTTGACTTTCCCTATTTTCAATATTCCCTCTCCTCATCAATTTGCCCTTCTCTTCTCACCTCCCATTAGGGACTTATACTTACTTTCTCAAAAGGGAAACTCTCTCTCCTCTATCACCTCCTTAAGGCCTATTCCATTTCCAGAGGTACCTGCGTATGTTCCCCACTGCTCATTCCAGATTTGCAGTTGAATCTCTCCTCCATCTGTCTCTCTTCCACTCCCCACAGGATGTCAGGGAAATCCAGATTTCTTCCAGGGACCAAACTCCACATAACAAATTGGATCTTCAACAGGAAATGGAAACATGCTATTTTTAAAAAAGTAAATATATGACTTGAGTCTATCACTTGAGGGTCTTCTTCTCCCTTTATTGAGATCACAAAATCATTTCCCTAAACAGCTTTGAAACGTTAAGTGCTGTTCTCTGCCGATTTTCACGAATGGAGGGCTGCGAGGGCTCTGGATTCACCCTTCAGGCTGACAAGCCGCGTGGGACCTCCGGGATGTTGGGCGGGGGATTGACGTCACTGTCCCCACTGCCAGCAGCAAGACCTCCCTGGCCAGCCTGGGCATCAGGCTCCACCTGAGCAGCCACGGGCGGGGTGCGGACTTGCTCCCTCCTGGAGGAGCAGCACCTCAAGCTTCTTTTCTGCCTTCCCTCGGCGTTTCTCGGTGGCCGTCTTGGTGGCCGTGTCTCACGGGGCGTCTCCCCACCCTCGAGGCTCTCTCCCAGAGCTTCTCCACTTTCCCTTTTGTGTCTGCAGATCAGCTTCTCAGGAGGAAGTCACTTCTGCCCTGGGCTGAGCTCAGCGCCTACATCCCAGGTCTGCTGCACCACGAGTGGACTCCGGCCCCGTCTCTGCTCCTGGACCCGCCCCCGAAACCCGCTAAGAAGCTCGAGCGAACGGCTGTTCGCCTGCGCACAGGGCGGACACGCCTCTCCGCGTCCACGTGGAAACTCTAGTAGAGACAACTTGGCCGCGGTCCCTTTAAGAAGTGCGAAGCCCCGCCCCGCTTTCCAAAGGCGGTGACGCTATCTCCCAGCGCCCCGCGAGGCCGATCGGCTGTGGTTCCCAGAGAGCCACGCAGACCGCCCTGCGGAGCGTGAGAACTACGTTACCCAGGATGCCACGCTAAGACCCGGCCAATGAGCGCTCGGCAGAGGGCGCCACCGCGTTTGTTCTGTAGCTCGGGGCGGGACTTCCGGCGTCGCTCCCGGAAGGTCGCAGTGATAGCTTTCCGGTTCCGCACGCTCCATCAGCTATAGGGGTCCTGGGTGGTCTTCGCGGCACAACGGCGAAGCCGATGGCTGTGGCCGCGCCTCAGGACACAGGCGGGGTAAGCGCCGCGTCCCCCGGGCCGCCCGAGTCCCGGATCCCCGAGGGGCTGCGCGGTCCTCCTGTGTCACTCCACCTTTCAGGTCTCCCTGTCCAGAACGACACGGGGCTCAGGGGCGGGTCCCCACTTCCCAAGCTGGTGTCCAGGGTGTGGGAGAGCGTGACTGCCGAAGGGACTGGTTTCTATTTCACTAGGACGGTTGAGCCAGCAGCAATCAGGCGTTTCACCCTTGTCCTCAGGGTTTTGATAGCCAGGGAGGGCTGTGCCCGGAAGAGCGTGGTCTGCGTTAAGTTTTTCAAAGTTTCCAAACGCAACTCAAAGTTAGAACATCTGGAAAGGGGATAGCACCGAGGTGCAGCAAAGATGGAGTCCTAGTGCAAGTTCTCACCGTAGTTAACAGCACCCAGGTCTGGGGCACTGAGGCCACCCATGATGCAGTCATCCCCAGGGCTGGGCGGGGGGAAAAAGGAGGCCTGAGTCAGGGGAACCCCCACCATGGTCACTTGTCTCTCTTCCTCTTCTCACAGGCTCCTATGACTACAAAAACCCTTATGGACTTCGCACAGGTGAGTAGAGGGTGTGCCAGGACTTCCATGATTCTGATCCCACTCTGTCTCTCCATCTTTTAATGTTCTGGGGATCTTCTCATGTTACTTCTCTATTTCTTGGGTCCTGAGCAACTACATCAAGCCCAGGAATCACATGTCTAGACTAGGGGGTATCTGAAGTGGTTTCTTTTGCTGGAAACTAGTACAGTAGGGTGTGGAGGGTTGTCCCAAGTTTAGATAATTGGTGAGCAAATACTAGAACATAGGGCTGAGTTGTTGAGGAAAGCAGGGAGTTGAAAGCTAGAGAACAGGAATCACACTGTGATGGTTTTCTCAGATTTTCCGTGTCTCTTCTGGAGTGAGACAAGTAATGCAAGTTTTGGATTAGAAGATGGAGATTTCCTGTGGCTACAACATGGAGACCAGACTGTGGGTGTGAAGGGTGGGATTGGAGGAGCAAAGATAAGGCTACTGTAGCAGTCAGGTGAGAGCTAATAATGGCTGGACCAATGTGGTGGCCATGTAATTGGTAGCTGGAGTTATCTATATCAGTCTTTTTAAGTAAGAAAGACCAGGTTTATAGATACTGAGGGTGAGAGATTCTTACTTAAGAATCTGTGGTTCATGGAAGTGGGGTGTTTGGGTCTAGTAGCTCCACTAAGCAGGATAAGTTCGTAGTAGGGTCAATAATTTGGAATATTCACAGTTTTATTTTGGGATATCTTTAGAGGCTGAGATATTTCAATGAATAGTTAGTTTAGACCTCAAGTGGATAGTTAACCACACAGGACTAGAGCTTTTGGGAGGGTTTCAGGACACATCCAGAAGGTAGTGGTCAGTGTTTGTCCTGGGTGTAGCTTGGGTCACCATTAAAAGGGAATCCTGGTTTGCTGGTAATGCTATTAGGAGCCTGGGGACCCATGGGTGTGTCTTGTGCTTGGGTCCTTGGGTGGTAGTTGTGGGAGTCACAAAGATGTGGGAGAGAAGTGAAAGGTATGGGAGAGAGGATGGTCTGGCAGTTTGCCATGAAATCAGTGTGAAGGCCTAGGAGTAACTGAGGTACTGAAGCTAGGACTAATGCTTATTCAACATACTTTATATCCACAAGAATTTTGTAGAATCCGTGGTGTTTCTTTTGAGTTTCATAAATTAGCAGCATAAATTTTCATGAGGAGAGTTGGTATTCCTGAGGTGTAAGGCTACTGTGGCAGGCCATTGAATGAAGGTCAGGAGGAGAGGCAGGCAGTTCCTGGAGGCGGGGCACGTCAAGTACAGCACAAGTGGAAGTGGGCTGTGGTTTCTGAAATCTGAGGCCGTTCTGGGTTGCTGAGGTTGAAACAAGGAGCTCAGCAGAGGAGCTGTTGTTGGGATGTGGCCTGAGTGTTCTTGAAGGGTTCATGTGTTGGAATGTGAATCCCAGCCTCACTTATTAACAGTGGAAACAATCTGTGATGTTTAGAGGTTGAGCCTTTGGGAAGTGATTCGGGCTATGTAAAGTTGTTAGGATGTAGCCTGTGGTAGGATTCTGCTGGCTTTATAAGTAGAAAAGAGATTGCATAGACATGTGCATGTTTCCTGTGTCTTGTCATGTTATGCCCTGAGCTACTTGAGGAGACTGCCAGCAAGAAGGCCATCACAGATGAAGTGTTTAGACCTTGCACCTCCAGAAATATGAGCCCAAATGTCTTTCTTTATACAGTGGTTTGCCTCAAATATTTTGTTATGCTAGTAAAAATGGATTAATGTGGCCTGCAGAACAGGACAGGGACTGCCTCTGGCAGTGGGGACTATCAAAGTTCTGGGTAGTACTAGATCTTGTATCAACTTGCCAAGCTTTTTGGATGCCATGTTCTGAGTAATATGGTCAAACCAGAGAGATGCCTGTGGTGTGGGACACAGGGATGGAGGTGGCTGAGGAGCGAGGCTATATGAGAAGTGCGGTTCAAGGAGTGACGTTTACACTATGGGGATTGTGAGCTAAATGACTGATGGCCTGGCATTGAGGACATCAAAGATGATGAGCTCAAATTTGAGTCTGAGAGGCACAATCTTGGGACCCCAGGAAAATCACCTGGCTTTTGGGGATCTGGACCTATGTGTCAGGCCATTTAGCTGGTTCT